TCTTCTATAGGGCCCCTTACAACTCAATGATTTTTAGCCCGGAGGGGATCATGACCCCTCATGAAAGGAATTTAGACAACTTTTTTGCGGAGGTTTTTGGGCGTATTATTTGGATTTGGTTGAGGTTGGGGTTAAAAAGCAGGGACTGCTCCCCCTTAAGAATGTAGATAGGTCAAGTGGGGGTCGGGACCACCCCACCCTAGGGGTGAAACTCACCCCCCCCCCCCCGGGAAGAATCACTGCTGTGGAAGCCCAACCTGACTCCTGGGCTGCACTCAACGCTTGGGCCTCTAGCCTTCTACTGGTTGCCATTGACACATTTTCCTGAAAGATCCCAGCGTTCGCACCATTCTCTCACTGTCCTGACACTGTCCTCCTGCAACTACCCGACTCCCTTCCAACCCCAATCTGCAAAACACCATTATTTATCTGACGCCACCACCACAATTCCAAAACACACACACACACACACACACACACACACACACACACACACCCACGCGTAAGCTACTCCTTCCTCCCTACCTTTATGACTCTGGTGCCTTGTGGAAGTACCTTTGTCCCAGGACCAGGACGTTCTCAGCTCTTGCTATTCTTCCTGTTCTCGATGCTATCCCTCTTCTCACTCCCCTGGCATGATCCTTCCCCAGAGCCCCTGTGGTCCTCTCAAGTGCTGGTGTGTTTTCCGCCAACCAGACTTTTGCCTTCCCCCTATCCTGCGGCTACTCTCCAGTGGGCTCTCTGGGTGGATTCCCTGGTCTTGCCCTCCTGTTCTTTAACCCGTCCTCATCATGCCCACCACTTGACAAGGAATCAGCCCACAATCTCCATTAAAGGAGTTGGGTATTCCCGTGCATGGAGCTTGGCTCCCTTCACCCAACCCCATCCGAAATCCCATGGATCTTAAGCCTGTCCTCTTCTCCAACCCTGGCACACCAGAAATGCCTCCAGACTCGACCCCAGATCCCACCTCGCCCTGCGTCCATGCTCCACCCTCTGCTTGACCCTCAGTGTCCCATCCTGCTTCCCCTATGACTTGCTAGTCAGATGAAGGATTGATTGGTCCTTCCATGACCTGTACTCGTCCCTTCACTTACTATCCTCCTTCCCCCATTGCCTGCTCTCTCATCCCCAAGAGGGGTCTACTGACTCCATCTGCAGTCCCGTGTTCCTTACCTTTGTGGGTCCACCATTGTAGATGGTGGTGGCTTACCTGGCCTTCTCTGTAACCTCACCTCCTCTCGCCTAGCCCTGCGCTGACAGGGTTGTCCCCAGGCTTTTCCATGGGCCACTTCTCCACACCTCATCCTGCTCTGACCTCATCCCACCAGGCCGGCATTGCACTTTGGCCTTACCCACTCTGTGATCTTCACCCTGCGTGGGCTCCTTCCCGCCCTTGAGTCACCCATGGTAGGAAAGTACCTGCCTTCTGCTAGTCGCCACCCAGCTTTCGTTCTTTACCATTCTTTGGGTGCAGTTCGATCGTCCCCTGTCCTTTCTCACTCTTCTGTGCCCTTGGAATCTGGCTCCTCTACTACACTCTTCCACAGTCCGAATGTGCTCACCTGATGTCCTACCTCTTGGGCCTGGGTTCATCATCTTTCCTGCTTTGCTTCTCTACTGCATACGTAGCAAGAAAACTGTCCTTCCTGAGCCAGGTGACATTTCTGCAGCCACCGACTGTACACCTCCTGGCTGATGCCCACGGTGCTCTGTGTGCTCCTTACCTCATTCCTCACCTTCTTCACACCCCACTGCCGTCTCCTTGGCCTTCATGTACTCTCCTGCATCTGCCCGCTTGCCTACGCCCTCTACTCACAGCCTGTGAACCTGGACTGTGATTTCCTCCAGGGACACGCAAACCTCGTTACTGGTAACCTTTCCTGTTTCCTTTGGGACCCCTTTGTTGCACATTCTTGGGGCACAGCCCTTGGGGAGCCTCGTCCTCTGATTCCCCTACCTCTTCCTCATCATCAGTCTGGGTCAGTGGTTCCCACCGTTCACAGTGGGGCAATTTGGATTTAACGGGGGCGATTTCAAACGAGTTGATAAGAGTGAATTTCTTGTATTTCTTAAGCTTCTAGGAGCTTCATATACTAGTACAGTAGAGAGAGATCTTTTGTGACATATGTATGCACTTCAGTTCTCTGTTATAGGTTTCGTTTTTATTTTTTTTGTTTTTTTTATCGTTTAAAGTCTTACAAATACTAGTACATCTGTGTCCTTTCCCCCCCCCCCATTGACCTACCCCCAGCCTCCCCTACCCCCCAGCATCTGTTATATGTTTAAAAGTTTATTTGCTATTTTTTGATATCACTTCAATTGTTATTTTTGGGCAATTTCTGGGTTATTTCTTCCTCAGTATTTCAACTGTCCTGTTGTCCTTTTATTTTTCTCTTTCATGGATGCCATCTTCTTTGGAAGCTTGTTTAGACCAAGTTAGTGGCCTTTTAGGTGTCCTCCACATGAATCGGAGTTCACTTTTTGAATAATGGGAATTATATGCCACGGGCCGGGGGAAGCATCAGGATTTTAGAGATGCTTAGGTGGGGCATGGGCAAAAAAAGGTTGGGAGCCACTGCTCTGGGTCTTTGGCCTTCAGCCCTCCCTCTTGCCCCTGTGCCTGCTAAGCCATGCCTGACACCTTGGTGCTCAGTCTCGCTCTGCACAGAGCCCTGGGTCTAGCTGTCCGCCCCTCTTCTCTCCTTCCTCTGCCAGCCATCGTCTGTCTGCCAGATCATCTCCTGTCCCAGCTGGGCCTTGCTTCTGCTCTACCGCCCTTCAGGTGCTCTCTGATCACATCAGTCCACCCTACATTTCCCTGTTGGTCACTCCTGTCTCCCTCAGCCCTCCTCCTCAAGAGGCCTCAGTTCCAGGACCAAACCTTGGTGCTCTGCTCCCTACTCACTCAAGGTGAATCCCAGGGTGCCACCCTCTGTCCTTCCAGGTGATTTCTCAGCTACATCCCTTTGCTTGCTTTGCTGTCTGCCTGGTCCAGGGTCCCTTAACCCCATTCTGACCTTCTTGAGTCTCATGCCTCCACCTCCTCATCTGCTCATGCTTCGCCTCTCTGCCCAGCTCTCCTCTCT